CGCCTCTTCATATGCCTGCTTCCTTGGCGCTTTCCGAACTGTCAGTGCGAACTCAATGCGCCAGACTGTCAGGCTGCCAAAATACAAAAGCGGGCCAGGCAGCTTAACATATATTGAAATCGCAACAGGCATCAGCAGCTCGCGGAGAAAAGGGATAAAATGAAAAAATAAAGTCAAGAATCCAACGATTTTCTCTTGTTTCACTCAGTTTGCAAGCATTTTCAAGTCATTTTAGTAATGGAATGACTTTTAAATATTTGAAGAGCTCCTTTGCTGCATCTGTTTCGGTCTTCGACTTCACATGCTGCAGATTCCGAAGCAACTTCTTGGGCATAGTCTTCTCGTAGCTGTCTATTAGCTCTTTGCATTTCATAAACACTGCTGTCGAAAATTCCCTTTTCTTTTTTGGGTTTTCCCTGACAATACTTTACGCTTCAAATATTTGAAATATTAAATTGCTGACCTTTTGTCGCCAACACTTGACCAATAAAACCAACAATCAAAACTCAACTCGGGACAAACCAGACAAAAACGCAAAATAAAGAAATACAACAAAAATTCGAATATTATATAAATAAAATCCTCATCATATTTTTATAGCAAAGTGGACATAAAGATTCCTATCGCCACACTTCTACGGCCACGGACAAGGTCCGAATTTCGGCTTGCCCACTCCTCCCCGACTTCCCCCTTCTGGGCCATTCTTCGTCGCTATGACTGTAATCTTTTGTTATGTGACCAATAAAGTAGGCGGTGGTGGGCCCTCCAGCGGTGGCTGGGTAAATAAAAACGCAGGAACATCGAATAACATCGGTCCAGATGGGGGCGTGGCCAAGGGATTGAGTGAGGCGGACGAAATTGGTACGTAAGCCCCCGGCGTAAGCCAAATGTGCAATAAAAGGATTTTCGTGAGAAATTGCATGAGCACGCATTTTAAATCCTCATTAAGAATGTAAGGCCTTAGCGTGAATACTGGGACAGCAAAAACAACAGCAATCAGGGGAGAAAAGACTTCAAAAATTAAAAGTAAATTGAATGTATAATAACGGGAGTCAAATAACCGTAGTTATATTTACCCCTTTATAGTAAAAATGTCTCAATTCGATGGAAATGATTTGGGTGGAATATAATATACTATATTCATAGTTTTTACTAGTTGCTATCGCAAACAAAGATTTATATGTGCGCAATATTTTTTCTTAATTAAAAAAGTTCAAAAGCTAATATAGAAATTTCGGGCATATAGTTTATTTTCTGTTTATTTGCTGATAAAGTATATGAAATAAAACAAGAAAGGAAAGCTAACTTCGGGCGGAGCCGAAGTTGATATACTCTTGCAGAATATTCTATAAATTATATTCTCCAAAATTATTCATATATAATATGTTGGCTTCTTAGAAAAAACAGCAAGAGTAAATTCAATAATAAGAACAAACAATTTATAGTGGTTTCAGAAACACTGAAGTACAATCTAGGTAAATAAGAATAATTCGAATTAAATTAATTTCTTAATCCTCTATTATTTATATAATGCGTTGTTTCATTTTTTTTTTGTATTTTGTTTCCATTAGGAGTTTTATATTCATTTTTTTACATTTTACTAAAACTTTTATAATAATAATTTTGTACCAAGAACTCGATTCTCAATTGAGGTTCTCGACAGTTTTTCTTTTGAGTAGAAGGGATATCAGTTCAATTGATTTTTAAACAGTGTGCAACTTGTCCTCATTATAAGACCAAGTGTTCTAAAAAAAATTAGAAACGTATTAAATGTGTGTATTCTCAAGCTGAGTAATTATAACTCATAGTTGGAACTTTTCCTCAGCTTAATAATTAATAACATAAAAAAATGTAAATCGAATAGTTAATAAGTTAATTTAATCTCACCTAAAGTGTATGGGCTTAACAGCATGTAATCGATCATTGAAACTAATTGTTAAGGACTTAGCTTGAGGTTATTTTTACCTCCACACTGTGACATACCAAGACTATCAGGGACATTAATCCTAGGACCAAACTTGCAAAATCCCTCCGTCCGACTCTTCCAGAGCCGCTTGACGTACCAGCGGCACAAATCGATTTCTGGCAATCATTCATTGCGTCAATCAAGGTGGCAGGAAGCTTCAGCCGACTCGCTTCAACTGCACTTGCATTTCAATTTAAATTAAAACTTTGCTCGAACTTTAAGCAGATCACCATCCTCGATGTTCCCTTCTGTGCCAGGACTTAACCGAGCCCCTGAACTCAGTTAAAAATCCAACGCTTCGTTGGCCACTTAAGAAGGCGTAAGTAAGTGAGCAATGAGCGTGGCAAGTAAGTTGTAACTCTCGAAAACTTTGTTTTGGGACCAACACGTATTGCAAACTGCACTTAATGCCCAATAAACTTTATACATTTTCCACATAAATTTAAAACAATTTACTATGACCACACGGCTTTAAAACTCCCGATTTAGCTATCAGTTCACTATTTGCTCGATTTCATTGAAAATTCCAAAAACGTTCGTGTATTTGGAAAATGCCCAAATCGACTGGTTGACTCAATGGGTCAGCTCCTCAAGTTTGTGTGGGTTTCGTGCGAAAGAAACATTTTTTTATATTAACAAAATAATGTCAGTTATCACCAATTTATGCCAGTTTGTAAGTCTCTCTTACACATTTTCCTTGTCTTCTTTTGTATATTTTGACTATATTTTAATGGACACGTGCTGCTATAGTTACAGTTTTAAAGCCACCCCAACACGAAAAAATAATTTCACAGTAAAGCGGAAAACCAAAAGTAAACTGTGGAAATGCCTTGCAGGTAAAAACTGACCTCGAGCGACGGCATTGCAGATTTAACTTTAGTTTTATGCAAGGCTCAGCAATCCCACAGCCAATTTGATTGATTGATAATTAGCCGTTTCTTCCTGCCAGCGCTTCGTGCTCCAGTTTTAAAACAAAAACTGGACGAAGGCATTGGGGAGGAGTTCCAAAACTCAAATAGAGAACTCAAAGAAGCCTTCTTTGCTTTTGCCAGGCATAATGGCAAATCAATCATTCCCTTCTTCATCTGCACATTATGCATGGAATTCCTCGCCCACAACGTTTTATGTTTCCGTTGGTGCTTCTGTTGTTGTTTCTGCAAAATCAATCTTCACTTAGCCCCACTACCAGTAACAATTCCACTCAACAATCTGACAATACATATTGTTCACAAATCGTTCGACATTAAGTTGGCTGCCAGCAGTTGGCCTAGATTTTAGTTCTTCAATTAAAGCGTGTTTGGGCATATGGTTTTACATATATACTCTGGCTTAGGCCAAACTTTAATCAGTTTGTACGGTTTTTATAACTCGGTTGAAATTTTCCCAAAAGTTGTCTTTCTATTGTACGTAGTATATAAGTCGGAACAAGCAGGATCGGGCGACTATATCAAATAGCTCCCATAGGAACAATCGAACAAAAAAAATTTAAAAAGTATAACCTTGTTGTTTTTCATTTTTTTTTTGTTCTTTGGTATTTGGTAATATTTAAATACTATAGAATTACGGTTTTAATTAAATTAAAATCGGACATCTATATCATAAAGCTCCCATAGGAAAATCAAAAAATTAAAAAAAAAATGTTAAAAAAATGTATTTTTATAGAAAAACAAAAAAATACATTTTTTTAACATTTTTTTTTTTAATTTTTTGATTATTATTAAAATAATCCTTTAAGATGTAGTAATTATTAACTATATTTGTCAAGAAGCAAATCCCCTGACTTGGTTTTACTGACTGAGCGAATGGCTACACCGGTCTCGTCTGGCTTCAAGTTTTCCCTAAGCTCCCTCAACACCTCGGCGTGGCTCCTGCCTTCTGCGGGATTGACCAATCCAGCTTCTGGGCGGGATCTTGAACGTACTTGAACTCTCAGGGTTAACATTAACTGCTTTATTCTTTCCCTCTGTTTGAGATGTTTCCGAGTCACTGTTTTAAAGCCGTCCTTCTCTTCCTTACTTTTCGGCTTTTTAGATGACTCTTGCTCGGCTGGGTTAGAAGCAGTCCGTTTTTTGCGGGACGAAACTGGTGTGTCAGTTTCCGGCAGCTTTTTGTTGGCTTCAGCCACCAAGTTCGCTTCCTTGACTCCCTCTGTTTCGGCAGTCAACCAACTTTTTTCCGACAATATCAAGGAGTTCGCTCAGTTCTGACGCTCGGCCTTTAACATCCATCCATCGCATACTTCATTTTTCGAAGCACTGCTCTGCGTTTCTCGATCGTTTCCTCTTCTAGGGCTCTCATTTTATGACATTTTGGGATAAAGCAGGGCTTTGCTGATCCTCGTGCTGTATTGCCGTAGATGGGTTTGGTTGTTCCTCCAGATGAACCACTTGCGGCGTCTTTCCTTCTTCTGTAACGCCTTGATCTGGCGACCTCATCATTTTTCTACTCTTCTGGAATGCTTTTCTATCTTCTTCTTGGGTTTTACTATTGTTGTGCATGCTATATGGGTCCAAACTTTAAGTCGCCATCTCCTCACATTTGTACAGTCCTCCACGATGCCCCCATGGGTCCCTATACAAGCAGTGAGGTTCATTCAATGGTTGACGCAGGTACTTATGGGTACCTGCGTTCGGAGCCAGGACGGATGTTAAGCAGGAGTTGATGTGCTTAGAACGTATTTAAAGACTCGCCAAGTTTTAAAAGGGTGGAGGTAACTTCAGCATTAGCCCAGCAGCCATTTAACCAGGGTTTAAATCTGGGTACTCAGGTGTTGAAATGCCGTTGTCATCAGCGGGGTACCTTCTTTAGATTCTGAGGTGTAGATTGACAATATTCAGTGGTAAAGGAAAATTTGGAAGCCTTTTATTAATTTTCTATCTTATTTTATTTGTAACCATACATTACCCACAAACGTTCAACAATGTTTTGGACAATACCTATATGTAGGTCACTAAAAACAAGAACTCGAGCTGCTCCGCAATTATGTTGATAGATGCTACCGGCCCATATTGAAAAACACACCCAAAACAAAAAATAGTTTGAACAATTTATTAAATAAACATTCTACTCTTCGTTTTCGACATTAGGTTTTCCTTTTTACCGTGGCAAGCCATTGGAAAATATCTGATTGAAATTGCACAATTTAAGAGAAGTTTTTTTAAAATGTTATGAACTTACGTTTGACTTCAGATTTTGTAAGGCAAGCAAGTTATTTAAGTTTGTATTAGAGTCTTCCTCTCACAAGAATTAGCAGCAACCACCACGCCAGAAACCGGGACCGCTTGCCCCACACCAAGAGTTAAATGGACCGTTGTAGGGTCCAAAACAAGGATCGTAGAATCCACTTGGTCCACTACCGCCGCAGGGACACAAGGCGGCGCAAGGATAGCAGGGATAGTTGCACATGATAATTTGTTTATCCTATCATAATAAATATTAACGGATAAAAATCAAGAAAAAAATAAGACCAGCTTAAATTACTTGCTTTGCACGGAAAAATATGAATACAATTTTGATATTTTTGGGCCGTATATGTCCGAAGAGTTCGAATCTTAATGTTCAACTAACCTGGACATAGTTAGGAAACGGCAACGAAAAGTATTTGGCTTGATTTAAATTTCAAGGCATTCTTTTTAGAATATATGTATAAACATATACTTGTGTGCAGTAAGTACTACTTTGTAGGCGTTGATTTGGCTGATGTTAGAAATTCGGTCGATATAGGCACATACTTGTATAAAACCAATTGTCAATCGGCCAACATATTTTTTATGCAATTTTATTAATGTAAAATTGTGTAACATAAATTTCTTTATAAATCCTAATTCCAATGATGGCTTAAAGGTAATTTGTTTCTGGTTTATTTTCCTCATACCATTTTTATTTTAAGAAACTTAATAACACGTATGGCTTGCTTGCACTCTGCGGATGAGAAGAATGAAAACGAAAACTTATTTTTGCATAAACATATATCATATTTCAAATGGCATAACAGAATTTTAAAAATATAAAAATAATATTCGGGAATTTGGTACGGATTATTTTAAAATTAATTAGAGTCTAGTATCAAGTATCAGTTTCGGCCATATCTGGGAATTAGGATAACATCGCTTACATATACATTTTTGTATACATATAATGGACTTTACTACTACTATGCAGATAAAACGTAATCTGGCTTCTTGTATTTGGTCTAACCCCAAAGAAGCATCACAACGATAATGATATAGCAACAATATGCAACGTCAATTTATGTAGTGTTCTGATTGTAATTATAAAAAATCAAATTATATGGCATTGCTTAATTTCACTTTTCCACTTTTCGGCTTGAAAAATTGAAAATGCATAACAGTACGCATCCATGTCTATAATTACATAAGTATTACTGTAGTCCTTTAGTTCGGGTATTTTTTTTTATATATACTGGTTTTTATGTCTTAGCTATTATCCAATTTATTACTCATTTCAATAGACCCCATTTTTTGGCATTGTTTTATTTTATGCCAGATTTCTATAGGTGTATAGAATCGCAATTTTTGACTTCCTTCTACAATATTCGATTGATAGAAAATACTGTTTTTTATAGTATAGTAACTACTTTTTAAGGGTTTTTTTGTTTTTTGTTTTTCTTTTTCATTCTTCAGCATAGGATAATACAACACCCTTTACAATTTGTTTTTCTTTTTTTGTCTCTTCCGTTTAAATTAACAAAAATCAATCGGTAAGAATTAATTGAAATATTCCCCTATTGATGACTGAATAATAATGATTTAAAAGGCCCAGTTTAGCTAAAGTCTGCCGCAGACAAGGCATATAAATTAAAGCTTAGTCAGGATTTTTTAGCCTACCCTTAAGCATTAAATACTTTGCGAAACAATTAATCTCAATTATTTGCCCAGAATTTCGTATGCAGCTCGGGTAAAAACTCCACACTGATGGCCTCTGTTTAGAATGTCCAAGGATTGCCAGCAAATCAGGTACAAAACGTGATGTGCTTTCAATAAAGTGCACACAAAATAAAGAAAACACAAAGCAAGGATGGAGGTAAAGTGAGGTAAAAAAAAACTTTTAATGCGTTTAGGTGACGAGCGTTACACGAACGCTGAATGGTAAATGTTTTACGGTAAACAAAATCAAAGCCAAGCCACAAGAAAGGTCCAGCACTTAAAGTATAGCAGATTTTGGCTCCCTAAAAAGACGAGTGAAGGGCGTGAGAAATTTTTATAAGCGAAAAACATCACGGGTTCAAGAAGGACACGTATGGGATTCAGCCTTAGTATAGGAGTGGTCTTCACAAATTTTGACCTTCCCCAAATGCTTGATAATGAGAAACATTATTAAAAAGGTCCTAATTAATTGACCCTAAGAGGAACATGGGCTGCATATTTTTCATTTTGCCACAAGATTTTTAACTAGTTACCTTTGACTTTTTAATGATATATTTTAAAAGAAGTCACCAGCTTAGTATTACTTTTATTCGGAACGAGAACACGACCGGTTTGAAACGTAAAAATTGAATTCGTATAAAATTTTAAGTTACATTATGGCTTTAAATAAAATTGATGGTGTTACAAACATTTCGAAACAACTAAATCGCTGGCGCAACTGTAAGTAAATCTTCTCTGTTAAGCTGCCTTCCATTGTTGGCAGCACCAGCACTAGGGGTTGGGCCAAATCAAATGTGGCTAAACCGAACTCCTCCCATTAAATAAGTATTAATAAGTAACAATAATAGTATAATTTATATGATAATTTTTATTATCAACTACTGTAAACAATATTCATTATTATGCATTACGAAACATATTATTTTGCACCATTAAACAAAAGTAAAACAAAACTGTTCAATTAATTTAAAAAAATTTGTTTTGCCCCACCTGTTTTTAAATTGCTAAAAATAAATATTTCTTAGAAGTATAGTCTTTTAAGAATAATAGATATAAAATTGTTTGTTGACTAATATATTAAAAAGTTATTACTTATAAAAACAGAAATTGTATACAAATATATTGGAAACCAAACTCATTCAGCGCTTACTTTTTCTTTGCAGTAGTTATTTTCATGTGTCAGCAATCAAGGAATGCCCACGTTGCTCAACGGCCGGTAGCATCGGAGCCTGTGGTCCCAAGCGAAGCAACCACCAAAATGACGGACAACTTGGTCTGGTCGAAAAACTCGCCAGTCAGCCTGATTATGGAGACCGCTCGAAGGCCGCAGCACAACAGGACACTCGAGTTGAAGAAAGCTGCTGTCCAACTCAGCAGGAGCAACGAATCCCTCAAGGCGCACTACATCCAAAAGCGGAACGATCGCTCTGCGGAGGAGCTGCTGGCAAAAGAGCTTCTGGCAAAGGAGCCGCAGACAGTCCAAAAGCTGGCCAATTTGATGTCCCTCAACATCGCAATGGTCGAGACTAAAGGCCAACGATCTTCCAGAATGCCAGCCAGGCGAATGGAAACAGATCTCCCAACCGGCATTATAGATTTTAAGCCCCAAATAAAGCATAGTCCTCGTTGGCAATATACGAAGCCATCCAAGGACGCAATTAAAGACGCAAAGGATCGCCAAAAAGGAGCTATGAAAAACATTCCATTGCTGGCTAAGCAGACCGAGTTGGTTGAGCAGTCGCAAGAAAAAACATCTGATGTGGAAAACAAAAACGTCAAAACGGAGAAAATCGCCACGACCGGAAATAAATTAAAAATGGGTAAAATTTTTTGGCTGTAATTAAAGCATGTCTTATGGAAAATATTTACAGGTTTCAGTACAAAAGCGGTCCCGGAAGATGAGCGAGATAGACAAAAGATTTTGTCCAAACTGGCTGATGTAATAATAGAGCCGGTAGCAAAAAACCTAAATTCCCAGGCTAAGTGGAAATTTGGTAAACTTAATGTGCAGTAAATTTACCGATAATTCACAGATACTTTTCACAGGTTCCAGATCTATCCCTCGTCTGGACATTTAATGCTTGCAATTTTTGATTCTCCATAAGTAATATGTTTTGTCTTTATTAGTTTGAACCATTTAAATTATTTTGTTTGTTCACATTTAAATCTTATTACACCAAATATCATAATATATATTAAAAATAAAAATATATTAAATTTAAATCGAGGAGAGTCGCTAAGAAATAAGAAATGACACTAGAAAAATAGTGCTAAGGAACAATTATTATTTCGCCCATCTCTAGTTTGTGTAGGAACGGACAGACTGATCTTATCAAGAATTAATACTTTATATTGTAGAAAATGTCTGAAATAGAATTGCCTTATTCAAGTGTATAAACGATTTATTAAAAAAAGTAATATTTTAGGGCAACCCAGATGTTATTCATAAGGTATATTCTTACTCTTTAATTAAAAATTTATTTACTTATCCTTACCGGTCTAGAATATCAACTATTTGTCGTTGTCTCACATATACACTCTTATCAGACAGGCACGGGCCAAAAATTAATTAGAACTTAGCTCGATGGACTGACAGTAAATGAAAGTTTACCCAAGTTAGTCAACAAGTCAAGAACCAAAGGGGGAAGGAGGACTTCGAGTAGCATAGATCTAATATAAGATGACTAGAATTGCGGGACATTGCCGACCAAATAAAATGTTTAAGATGCCATTAAACGCAAACCAAAAGAGGTAGTACTGTGGCACAGAGATGACCCGTTTATTGGCCAAAAGCAAAGAAAGGCCAACGGCGAAGAGCAAATGCCAAATGCGACAGAACAATACGCAGCAAAAGGGCGTAGTCGAGAAAAACAAAGAGCCAACTCTGTGCGAATAAATATGACACGAACAAGGGGAACATTGCGAAGCACCAGGTCGGATGTCCACGATGTGCCTTGTTTGTCTTGGACTTGAGCGACCACCACTGCCGAGGAACCACTGCCAACCACTGCCGAGGAAGCAACAGCAACAAAACAATTAACAATCTCCGTTTGTCGTAATTGACTCAAATAAGTGCCAACAATTAATAAAAAAGCAACTGTGGCAGTAGTATGTATATATATATAGATTAAATATTTGCAAAGTTGTAAAAGGTATAAATGGTTAAAACAGTTCTTACAGTTTAATACAAAATATTATTTGTTTTACTTTTGCAAGGGGTTTTGTAATTTAAGTCGGAAGATTGCAGTAGAAATTTCAATCTTAGCTTTAAATGTTACAGCTATGAGTTCTAAGTACGAGTACGATGCCAATACCGATGCAATAGCCAAGTAAAGACGAACATAAAAATGGCACATTTGGCTTGTTTTTTTCAAAAAAGTGCTTTAATTAATTGAAGCTAAACTCAGCTCGAAATTTTGGTTTCATGATTTATGAAACGCAAAAGAACAGTATCGTTAAATAAAGCAACAGAGGAGACATTTTCTGGGAAGAGATATCTCCAGAGATCATCCCAAATTTAATCGATTAAGTACCGCGACGCCTGTAAAAAGTTATTGAAACCAAAGAAAACAAGAAAGAGAAGCTATACCCTTGCAGAATATTCTGTAAATTATATTCTCCAAAACTAATCATATGATGCATTCTTAATACTCATAAAAAATCCCAACTTCCTAACTTTAAAAACACCAAAGTTATTTCATTTCCGAACGTTCAGTTATATGGCAGCTGTAGGATATAGTCGGCCGATCCTTATGAAATTTGGTAGGTCGGATTGAATGGCCAAATATAAAACCCATAGAAAATCCCAACTTCCTAACACCAAAGTTATGGCATTTCCGATCAATCAGTTGTATGGCAGCTATAGGATATAGTCGGCCGATCCCGTCCGTTCCAACTTATATACTGCGTGCAAAGTTTCAATTCGATATCTTTAAAACTAAGAGACTAGTTTGCGTAGAAACAGACAGACGGACATGCGTATATCAACTCAGGGCGCGATCCTGATCAAGAATATATATACTTTATAGGGTCGGAGATGTCTCCTTCACTGCGTTGCACACTTTTGACCAAAAAGTGCAATGGTATGGAAAAGAACGGTTTAATGTGCCAAATTAACTACATTTTATTTATTTTGAATACCTATTTTTTGGTAAGGAGCAATCCTTAAGTCTATCCCGATTCTGTGGTGGTGTCGGTGGAGTTGTCAGTGAAACTATCAGTCGAGATATCAGTGGAGATCAGTAAAGATATCGGTCTAGTTATCAATGAAGCTGCTTTCAGAGTAGCTTTCAGTGGTGAATTCCTCGGGTCCTGGGGTAGGTCTGGGAGCACTTGTGCTAGGTGTGGTAGGAATTAGGGTAGGACGTGTGGGACGACCGCCAAACCTGACTTCAAGGTCTATTATAAAGGCTTTGTCTTGTCCAAAGCCACCACCGCCAAAGCCACCACCGCCAAAGCCACCACCGCCGTAACCATCTCTTTGGGCCACGACCGCTCCCATCAGGGCCAGAAAGATAATCGCAATGTAGGCACGCATTCTTAAACTTTCGCTCCAATCGCAACTGATGACAATTCAGTCTATGCCAAGCCCCTTTTATACCCAAAAACTCAAAACATCACCAAAATGCATCTGTGTGCTTAGCTGGAATCTCCGAAGAATGGAGAATTGATAGATTGGGGGTTGTCGAGCTCAACCCGAATTGTTCGCCTCTAATTATACGTTTGCATTTTGTTTTCATCCATCGTTTAGCAACAGCTGGCCCATGTTTGAATTAAATTTATTGTTTCTATTTTTATCTTAAATGTTTGAGTTTGAAATGACTGTGGGGCCTAAGGGGAAGATTTGCTGACATCTACGTCTATTTTGCAAATAATTAATAATAAACCTTTATGAAAAAACAAGAAAAAACAAGAAAGGAAAGCTAACTTCGGGCGGAGCCGAAGTTGAAATACCCTTGCAGAATATTCTGCAAATTATATTCTCCAAAATTATTCATATGATGAATTCTTAATACTCATAAAAAATCCCAACTTCCTAACTTTAAAAACACCAAAGTTATGGCATTTCCAATCGTTCAGTTATGTATATGGCAGCTATAAAATATAGTCGGCCGATCCTTATGAAATTTGATATGTCGGATTGATTGGGCAAAAATAAAACCCATAGAAAATCCCAACTTCCTAACTTAACAAACACTAAAGTTATGGCATTTCCGATCAATCAGTTATATGGCAGCTATAAGATATAGTCGGCCGATCTTTTTGAAATTTGGTAGGTCGGATTAATTGGCCAAATATAAAACCCATAGAAAATCCCAACTTCCTAACTTAACAAACAGCAGAGTTATGGCATTTCCGATCAATCAGTTATATGGCAGCTATAGGATATAGTCGGCCGATTCTTATGAAATTTAGTACGTCGGATTGATTGGGCAAAAATAAAACCCATAGAAAATCCCAACTTCCTAACTTAACAAACACTAAAGTTATGGCATTTCCGATCAATCAGTTATATGGCAGCTATAAGATATAGTCGGCCGATCCTTATGAAATTTGGTAGGTCGGATTAATTGGCCAAATATAATACCCATAGAGAGTCCCAACTTCCTAACTTAACAAACAGCAGAGTTATGGCATTTCCGATCAATCAGTTATATGGCAGCTATAGGATATAGTCGGCCGATCCCGGCCGTTCCGACTTATATACTGCGTGCAAAGGAAAGAAGGGTGTGTGCAAAGTTTCAATTCGATATCTTTAAAACTGACAGACTAGTTCGCGTAGAAACAGACAGACAGACGGACAGACAGACGGACAGACAGACGGACAGACGGACATGGCTATATCAACTCAGGAGGTGATCCTGATCACGAATATATATACTTTATAGGGTCGGAGATGTCTCCTTCACTGCGTTGCACACTTTTGACCAAAATTATAATACCCTCTGCAAGGGTATAACAAGAAAAGAAAGCTAACTTCGGGCGGAGCCGAAGTTGATATAACCTTGCAGAATACTCTGTAAATTATATCCCAACTTCCTAACTTTAAAAACACCAATGTTATGGCATTTCCAATCGTTTAGTTATATGGAAGCTATAGGATATAATTTAAGCTGTGTTATTCATATTAATAGTTACTTGTCCAACTACCTATACCACCACTTGAAAATTACCTTAGTTTATATAATTTCATGTTCATTTGACATAATGTTGATTTCATTTTTTTTAAGTCATGGAGGTATTGTAACCATTGTAAAATTACCATTTGTTTTTCGTCAAACAAATTATGTCGACTAGTGTATATTTAAATGTGACAGATTATTGGTGACATATTATTTGTGAAATTCCATCAGTCACATCGCTATGAAGGGCAGAAGTTCAGATGCTTTTAACTACGGGTCTAAAGGAAAGACAGACTCAAATACTTGCAGTGGGATTGGTCCTTCCGCCTGAATGAGTACCGGGAAATGTGTTCGCCGCAAATAAATTTGATTTGCATGTGCAAATGAACGTGGAATTGAATTTTCTTATGCATGAAATGTGCGCATAATTGGTCCTTGGCACTCGCAGGAGCATCTGCCACATCCTTTCACCCCTAGACAAGTGTCCCAGATTGTGGCCACACGCCATCGTAATTGCTTTTGTGAACATTTTAATTCACGGTAAAAGTTTTACTAAGTTACACTACTTAGTGTGACTACTTAATTTAAATTTAATTTGAGATCGAAATTTTACCCACAAAATCATAAAATTAACACAGTTTCATTAGCATTTCGTTAAAGGGATAACTTTTACAAACTGAATTATCTGTTTTTGTCTAAAAGACTCTCCTGGTGATGCTGATCAAAAATATATATACTTTAAAGGGTCGGAAATGTCTCCTTCACTACATTGCAAACTTTAGACTGAAATTATAATACCCTCTGCAAGAGTATAATGTTGTGGTATAATGGTTGTTCTTGTGGAACTAACTAATACAGCCAAATATATTCTAAATTTCATAGTATATTCAAAATTTCATCTAACATCTGAAATATATTTTCTAACTATTGACCGAAATGATTTTAAAAATCTTAAGTACGATGTTTCAGTCGAATAAAGTATTACTCGACATTGACTGCTGAAAGCTGATTTGAATGGAAATAGTGTAAATAATAAAAAACGCATAATTGAATGCTCTTCAAAGTGTAAATAATAAA